CAATAATAATTGTCTTAAATATACAATCAATTGATTATTGAAATACTCACACATTTATAGCCATTAAATACAATCAATTAGTTTTCAATCACTTTTAATGTTAAACGTAATCACAATTACTTTCTCACAAATTCAGTGAATTATTAATAAAATACAACTTCAATTCAATTAAAACACGTGTTTATACAGTAATTCAAAGACAAAGACTTGTTTACAAACAATAATCGCAATAAATCTCCAGACTTGGAGTCAGACATAGAGTGCTGTCGACATCTGTTGACAATTGGTGTCAACACACATACAGTCTTAATTATTATAACTTTCCTTTGAATATAAGTTATATAACTATTTCTCTGTATCTAACAAAATGTGTTACTTTTATGTCCACTAATGGATAGTAAAGTGAAATATTGTACACAATATATGACATTAGAACAGTTTATTATAACGAAGAGTAGTTTTAACACAAATATAAATAAATGTAGTGAACATACAATAGAGATGTTACACAATATTTCTACTGGAAATAAAATTTTACAAATTACGGTATTTAGTATTTTAATAATAGAAAAGTTATCAATAATGTAAATGTCATAATAAAAGATAGAAATGTGTATCAATTTTGAGGTTTTGAACAATAATTTACAAATAATTTAGGACTCGTATTAAGTATTATCTAAAAATATCTCCAAATGTGTTAATAGTTTGCATTCAGACAATAATTCACACGTTATGGGAATGTGTTTCCAAAATGTTGATACAATATTCAATCGTTGTATTTGTGGCTTAATTTAATCAGAAATATAATCAATAAATGGTATTATAAAAAGTATACAAAAAAACACACTATTGTTGCCATTCATAAAAAGGTTTGATTTGAAGACAAACTTTAGGACAATTAGTGCAAAGATTATTGACAGCCATTTGTGTGCTATTACAAATGGCATGTATTAGTGCCCATGAGTTGAATGCAACGGATTTGTGTCAGTCTTGACAATGCATTCAACACTTCGTCGGTAATCATCACATCATTGAGTCTCAGTTCCAGAAGTTGTGGTAAATAGCGATCAATATTAGCGAAGAAAGTGTCGGTAATGGATATGACCTGCGATTCGCTATATCTACACAATATATTGTCATAAAATGTAATTTTCAAATGCGTTAACCTTTTCCATGAATTAAACAAATGATTCAAACACTCGATTAGCGCATCGTTTGATATATTTGTCGTATTATATAAGCCATTGATTTCCAAACGCTTTAATTGTTTAAAGTGTTTACCCATTATGTGATCGATGTATTCAATAGTTGTCCGACTCTTAAACTGGACGCACAGACTCGTGAGTTGCGGACATTTCACACCTATTTGTGTCAATAAATCCCACTCTATGAAAGGGTCGTTCAAATTCAATGTAATGCCAATTAATGCCCGCATTTGTGATAAAACATCCGATAGTTTGTTAACCATATTATCGTCGATAAGACAATCGAAAGTGAATTCAATAGACTTAATATTGTGGCCGTAATTGCGAGCAAACAATTCAAACGCTAACAAATTAATGTCAATTATGTGTTTGCTATGTGTTGTAAAACTCATAGCAATACTATTGAGTCGTTTATATAGCAAACCATTATTATCAGCACTCAATATGAGTGGTGTTTTGCATAACTTTTCAAACGGTAAGTCAATTGCCGTCAAATTGACATACAATCCGATGTATTCATAAAACTTTTCGTTATAGTCTTTAGGGTCCGAGAATTGAGACTCCCATTCAATCAATGATATAGTTTTCAATTGTTTGGCAAACTTTAGGTTAAATCTCACATTTGTTTCATCACTTTCATGGCGAAGCAAATCGTGACAAATGTGTGTCAAATGATTGCTATGTTTTATTAGCAAATCAATGAATGAGGTGTGAATTGACACGTGTTCATCATTGCGTTCACAGCAAACACTTGTGATTTTAGTGCACTTTTTCAATAGTTTTGAAAACAAGTCTATATTATCGTAGAATAAAATATTATAGATTTTTTTGTTTACGTTTAAAGTTAATTGTTTGTTATATACAAGTCTTCGCCACTGTTTTGATAGACATTCACAACGGAATCGGTCTTCAAATGTGAGGAAAGACAACAACTCTTCGCACAAATCGTCACCAAATCTATCGAAAGAGTCCTTTGAATACCTTTTTGTGGAAATAATTATGTAATCAATGATTGTTTGCAATAATAATTGTCTTAAATATACAATCAATTGATTATTGAAATACTCACACATTTATAGCCATTAAATACAATCAATTAGTTTTCAATCACTTTNTTGTTCACATAATTTAATCAATTAGTGTCCGTATGTTTTGTTGAAATAAAAACTTTTGTCATATCTTTTAATTGAGACAAATTATTGATTACACTTTGCAATATGTGTACACAATATTCTAGTTAATAATAAAATCGTAATGAATAGATGATGATAGAATAGATTATTTTATAAATATAGAATTTAATTAAAATTTTTAATTAAGTACAGTAATTATTTGTATAATATTTATATTTAAGTTTTATAAATAATAATTTAAATGTTATTATAAAAAATATTGGAAAACCAATTCAATGTAATATTTATGGCATAATATTAGACGGGATCTCAAAGTCATTATAAACTTAATGAGACAAATAGTTTAACACTTAAAATACAAATACAGATAAAAACTCGTATTAAGTATTAAACAATTTTAATTAAACTCAATTGCGTTCAGTTTCGGGCAATTCTTAAGCAATTGTTGTGATAATAATTTGCGAAACTTGTTGTCCTTTTTTTCTATCGCAATATCAACTTTTGACAAATGTTTTAATTGTGACAAACAATTGATAACCTCTTCATTCACTTCCATCTTATGGATTGAAATATATCTCAGTTTTGGTAAATGTTTGTCGATATGAGTGAAGAAATCGGTGCCAATTGTGTGTTTATGCGATAAAATTATGTCTAAATGTGTTAATTGTTTGCAATTATTCAATAATCCACTCGTAATGAGAATGTGGTGTGAATATAATGAGATAAACTTCAGTCGTTGTATTTGTGGGAAGCATTTATTGATAATATCCGACATTATATACGACGGGTTGTTGTATGACATCTCAATATGTAATTCCCGGAGTTTACGACAATTGACACCAATTTGTTTCATTGCATTCAATGATATCTCTTTCATTGAATTGTTGTTTGTTTTAAATAAAACACAAAATCTTGTCATTTGTCTCATTTGTGACATTCTTTTCAAGAATACTTCCACTGATTTCTCGTCACACAAGTTGTCAAATACTATAGCAATTGATTTCAAACTATTTTTATAGTAATCAACAAAATAATGTATTCTTGTCGTGTCTTCGAGTCTATATATTAATTGAAAATCAATCATATTTTTAAAGTAAACTTCATTTTCATCACTCATTATATAGGAAATCATAGATTTACGACTATAACCATGGTGAAATTTAATCAAATTTTCACATCTTTTCATATTTTTCACGAGTGATGTCTGTATTAACTGATCATTATTTGTGTTACAATTGATTGATTTTAATTGTTTGGCAAACTTTGTAAAAAACTTGTCAATCATCTCAACACTAATTTTTCTCCAATTAATAGAAAGTGATTTCAATTTATGGCAATGTTTTATAACTAATGCCAGCTTTAGATCCGTTACATATGAAGTGAGAGTCAAATCACTGAAAAACAAGGCATCAAAATGTGTGATATTTTCACATTTCTTTAATATCAACTCAAATGTTGACAAATCATATCCTCTGTAATGAATCACTTTCTGTGTATTGAATACCAATCGATGCCATTGTCTTGAAATGCATTCATATCTGAATCGGTCTTCAAATGTGAGGAAAGACAACAACTCTTCGCACAAATCGTCACCAAATCTATCGAAAGAGTCCTTTGAATACCTTTTTGTGGAAATAATTATGTAATCAATGATTGTTTGCAATAATAATTGTCNTTTTTGTGGAAATAATTATGTAATCAATGATTGTTTGCAATAATAATTGTCTTAAATATACAATCAATTGATTATTGAAATACTCACACATTTATAGCCATTAAATACAATCAATTAGTTTTCAATCACTTTCTCACGAATACAATGAATTATTAATACAATCAATAAAATAATTAAGACTTTAATTAAATTCAATGAAAACACGTGTTTATAATTCTCTGACTTTTGTTTTGCAAACAATAATCGCAACAAAACTTCAGACTTGGAGTCAATCATAGAGTGAGACATCTGTTGACAGGAAATGGCATTTAATTCACATTTCTTTTTATAACATCGATGTCAGTAACTCATTCTGTCAATATTTCATTCCCTCGGTATTATTGGATGATATTGTGGGTGTGTACCAATGCTTTTTGTATGGGTTCAGTCAATGAGGGGGCAGAAAGGGGGAGCAGGGAATGAGATAATGACAGAATGAGATATTGACATCGATGTAACTTTGAATATAATATAACTATTATTTGTCTGTTATTTGTATTTAAGAAAAATGTTTTACTTTTTATGTCCACTAATGGATAGTAAAGTGAAATATTGGACACAATATATGACATTAAAACAGTTGATTATAGCGGAGAGTAGTTTTAACACAAATATAGAGTATTATGTATTAAATGCAATACAGATGTTACACAATATTATTCTATTAGAAATATAATTAAACAAATTATAATATTATTAAATGAATTGTTTCAATAATAGAAAAGTTTGGACAGAATTAAAATGTCAGACAAAAAGTGTTAGAAAACACAATACAATTCAATACAAAAGTTATGGCAAATAATTTTAGACGAGATCTCAAAGCGATTATTTTATTATAAGTTAAATGAGAAATCGATTTACAATATTAGTTATTTGTAAAAATTGAAAATATTAACACAATGCCTGTACAATATATTAATCGGAAAAGACAAGGTTACCTAGATACTATCAATGGAATACCTTTACTGTTATATAGTTGCATTAATTACTAGTAAAGCATAATATGATTTAATTTTACTTTTTATTTCTGTGTAAAATGTAATTCACATTATTATTGACTCATTGAAAAATGAAATAATTATCAATTTATAAACTATTTTCAAATACAGTGTCCGATCAGTGATGGGTAACAGACAGGGAGGCGGAGGTTATGACGTGCGAGACATCGATGAAACGGATCCACAGGAGAGCACCGGTTTGTTGACACAAACACCACAACAGCCTCAGGAATATTCTGTGAATACAATACCCGTTGTGTGCGCTCAACCCTACAGTAATGTAACCGACTATGAATTGGCTGTTGATAGAGGAGGTGGACATCATTGCTGTCGCTGTTGTGATCCGCACTCATGTCATATGTGCTGTAATGGTGTGAATTGTGGCGCCGGGTGTGCCGATTGTGGCCAATGCTGTGCCACGTGTTGTCTGATCTGTTGTGGTGGCTGTATCCGTGGCTGTCTTGAGGGTGCTTTTCGATAGTGTCGAGTCCTCTGCACCGCATTGTCTCTCTACTCACCATTTGTTTAGTTATTTATTATAACGTTTTGTTTGTTACAAATAATTCATAGTTAATAGTGACAATCATTTTATCTAAATACTGTACATATTTTTATCTGGTAAATATGTTTGGTAAATACCTTAGGGGCAAACGAATTATATAATATAGGGCAAGTTTACCAAACTTTTGCATGTAAATAAATATTTGGCTCATAAATAAATGTACATGTATAATTATTTAATTTTTAATCAGAATTTATTATAATATTATTTAATGTTAATGAAGAAAAGTAAGAAATACTGCTGATATGTTGTTCCTTTCTAATTACAATGGCCATCTACCAAACGAACATGGGTATTTATCGGTTTTATATTTTCAATCGCGTTTACTGTAAGCAAACCAATAAAGCTAACGTATGTGGGTGGTTTCACAAATTGTGTGTTTCTTAGTTTAGTAGTAAATCAAAGTTTTAGTTATAAGAATTATTTGGTACAAAATGGCAATATTTATTGACAATGATATTTCACCACAACTTGTAATACTTTATCTGATAATAACATGTACACAAAAAACTATATAATACAGTACTTGGTTACTATTAGTTATTATATAATATATTATAAACATTATATCATAACAAAAACACAATACCTTTACATTGATTTGATAAATCAATGAGACCTAAGAATTAGCATTGATATAACTTTATGGTTGTATTTAATATTGTTAATGTTAATACTTTAAATTCTATAGCAAATTGTAATTAACGAGTGAACACAAACTTATAAAAAATTATTTATCAATTTATAAACTATTTTTATACATATTATCCAATCAGTGATGGGTAACATACAGAGAGGCAGAGGTTGTGACGTGATATACATCGATGAAACGGATCCACAAGAGAGCACCGGTTTGTTGACACAAACACCACAACAATATCCGGAATATTCTGTGAATACTACACCCGTTGTGTGCGCTCAACCCTCCAGTAATGCAACCGACTATGAATTAGCTGTTGATAGTGGAGGTGGACATGAGTGCTGTTATGAGTGCTGTTATGAGTGCTGTCAAGTCTGTTGTGAGTGTTGCCTTCAGGGCTGTCTAATGGGCTGTTGTCAGGTCGGGTTTGAATCATTATTATTGATGTCACTATAAATATCAATTATTTATTCAAACAGAAAATATTAATTCATGTCGCTATTTAAAATTTCAATTCCTACTTAGCTGACGTGTTATGACTCATAACTTATGAGTTTATAATTATTATAAATTAAAATTATTTAAATATAATAACACAAAACTATATTAAATACTTTGCATTAATTGCAATCAACTGTTGCCACAAGAATTGCGAATATAATCGGCGGAGAATTAATTGCATAAAATTGGGTCAACTATTATTCCACCAAAAATATTCACATACTGTATAGGCCCTGGTATTCACACCCGCCTTACATCATGACATGCTCTATGTATTAAATGTTAAATGCTAAAGTTCAAATGGCTGATAAATTAGCCATGGTACAAAGTAATTGTGTAAGTAATACACATGTAATTAATTTTTTGACAATAAGTTTTACTGAAATGATTTATACTTGTTACATCATTTAGAAAATTATGATTATTATGTATAATCGTTGATTAGACCTTATTATTTTATTGTTTCATGCATTGTGTACTTATGCAATATAGAGTTTAAATTATATCATATAATTATACAATTATGTGACATACGTATGAGTATTACAAGTTGCGATGAAATACCTGTCCCATGTGCTTTATTATTCCATGTTCTTATCACACGTACATAAAGTATATAAAGAGTATATACTTTACGTGAATGTATTACAAGTTATTGTAAAAAACCTTTTTCGCCATACAGTATATTGTGTTTTATTATATTAATTTACTGTTAAAGGTGTGGTTTTTAAAATTATTTACCTGTTTCAATTATTTAATTAATTAATTTGTTTAAATATTAGTGTTTTTTAGAAAATGTCTAAAATATACCCAAAGGATAGTTTTGACAGATTTGGTGACGATTTGTGTGAAGTTTTGCTAACATTTCTCACATTCAAAGACCGATTCCGTTGTGAATGTCTATCAAAACAGTGGCGAAGACTTGTATTCAATACACAAACAAATATTGATTACTTTTATTTCTATAAATCGTCTGAATTGTCGTTTGAGTTAATACTCAAAAAATGTATAAATATTACACATTTGAAAGATAAGTGTGGAGTAAAGAAATGGTATTTAACAGATCCAAAGCTGGAGTTAGTTATAAAACATTGCCATAAATTGCAATCATTTGAAATAAATTGGAAAAGTGTTGAAATCATTGATACGTTTTTTGCTAAATTTGGTAAACAATTGAAAACAATTAAATCTTACTCGAGAAGTGATGATCCGTTAATACAGACAGCAATCGCCAAGAATATCAAGAATTGCAAGAATTTAATTAAATTTAAAGTGGATTTCATTATTGACAATAAATTTTCAGATATTATTAGTGATAAAAATGAAGTTTACTATAAAAATATGACAAACTTTCGCTTATCATACGGAAGAGAAGACACGACAAGAATGGATACATTTGTTGATTACTATAGAAATAGTTTGAAATCAATTTCCATAACAATTCACAACTCGTGTGACGAGAAATCAGTGGATATATTAATGAAAGGATTGTCACAATTGAAGGAAATGAGAAGATTTAATGTTCACTCTTTTATTGAAACCGAATTCTTGAAAAAACCGGCGATGAATGCAATGAAACAAATTGGTGTCAATTGTCGTAAACTAAGGCAATTGAATGTTGATATGTCTGGCAATCAATCATATTTCATGTCCGATATTATCAATAAATACTTCCGACAAATACAACGACTAAAGATTAAATCGAATTTTAATGATTATCCAAATATTAACAGCAAATTATTAAATCAATGCAAATATTTAACACATTTAACTATAATATCAGTTATTAACCAAATCCCTGAAGTTATTGGCACAGAAATATTCACTGATATCGACAAACATTTGCCAAAACTGAGAGTTATTCACATAAATACCGCAGAATTGAATGAAAAGGCCGTCAATTGTTTGTCTCAATTAAAACATTTGGCAAAAGTTTTCATTCAAACCAATGGTATTGAAGAAGTATTTCAGGGATTATGTAAAGAAAAATTGATTAATAAGTGCCCAAAACTGACTAAAAGTAATTGCGTTATTTTGAACAATTCATAGCAAAATCAAATAAAAATTATGTTAAACCCTAATTGCTTTAATAATTTTGGTTATAATACAGTATTATTATGAATACCTGTACTATATTGATTAGAAAACAATATATAACAAAATAATTTATTATTTATAATTTTAATTACTGTAATATTTTAACAACTTTTATTTATTCATTTATAATTTCTAAAAAATAATTAATAAAAATTATAATTAAAGCAAAATAATATTAGTAGTTTTTCTTATAATTGCAACCATTTGTAAGTATTATTTAAATTTAAGATTAATTTTTGGATAATTAGTGATGAAGTTATTGACAGCTATTTCTGTGCTATTATTAGTGCCCATGAGTTGAATGCAACGGATTTGTGTCAGTCTTGACAATGCATTTAAGATATTGTCTGTTATTATCATTCCATTGAGTCTCAGATCCAGAAGTTGTGGTAAATTATTGTCAATATTATTATAGAAACTATCGGTAATTATTGTCCGTTTGATATCAAGATAATAATATAAATTCAAACTCAAATGTGTTAATCGTGTCAATGCATAGATTGAATCACTTGTTATTAACGTATTTAACTCATCAATTTCTGCGTTAATATTCAAACGTCTTATTTGTTGATAATTGTCATTAATTATGGGCAAAATTTCAAACAGTGGACTATTATAACGACATGAAAAGCACAGACTCTTCAGTTTAGGGCACTTGAGACCAACCTTTTTAAATAATTCTTTATAAACATTGCATTTATTGTATAAGTAATTTAAGTCAATCTTAATAGCAATTAATGCCCGCATTTGTGGCAAACTATCCGGTAGTCTCTCTACCATATTATTGTCGATATTTGTATTGAAATAAAATCCAATTGACTTAATATTGTGACCGTAATTGAGAGCAAACAATTCAAATGCATTTAAATCACTGCCATATATACTATTATTCCAATCGATTGTCAATTCAATACTTTTAAGTTGTTTGTAATGCAAACCATTTTCAGCACTCAATCCAAACGGCAATTTTGATAACCCATTAAACGGAATATAAATTGAAACCAAATTTACACACATTTCAAGCCATTTATACCACAAAACATCTTTGTATTTGAAAAAATAATTGGTGTAGTTTTCAATTGTTTGGCAAACTTTGCAAAAAACCGGTCAATTGTACACGGTTAGATATTTCCATCATTCACATTTACCCATCAAATTTTTGGGTAAATACATTCAACCAAAATGAGTAAAACTTGCAAATGTGTAAAACTATTTAAC